ACAGAGCACGAGATCGGAATACTGTGTTGACTGCACGGGCGCAGGTTTTACGACATCTGAGGCTAAAGACAAACTGGAGTCAGTTCCTGTATCCAGTTGTTGTGACACATACAAGTTCCAATGACAGACAGGACTAAGAAAAAAGGTTCTCCTAAGGGAGTATCAGCAAGTAGAGATTAAATTAAAAAGGTGACAATCTCTGGATTACTACCTGAGCCATAAGTGAATTGGCATAGAGCAAATAAGGTCAGAGAGTTGAATGCGTAGTTCTAAGATTGGTGTGGGAGAAACAGGTTGATTGATGGAGGCATGACACCAGTATTGGAGTAAAAAGAAAGAGAGAGATAAACCAGGGAAATCAGGTTTCATTTGAACCATACTGGGACCAATGTCCTGCAAATGTATAAATAGGGTTGTAGAGAGTGTTTTAAATTAAGCAGTCTGAGGGACAGAGGGGTAGGCAGGGCTCACATGGAGATTTAGAAAGTTCACGAAAAAAGACAAGGCAATTGCACAGGGAGAAAAATAGATAATGATAAAAAGAGAGAAAGAATGAATGAATGAATGAATGTACAAACATAAAAGTGCACCAGCAAATTGGATCACAGCATTTGTAGCAACTTGATAGAAATAAACAGGTACAATAAGAAGGCCATGACAAAAATGTGGTTGCAAAGCTGGGAACTGAATACTCTACGGTGTATGACATACTCGGAGCGCGCGAGAAGGAGAGCGCGCGAGAAAGAAAACAAAAACAAAAACAAAAATTGCCAGAGATACTCAGCTGGTCTGTCAGCATCTGTGGGGAGAAAGCAGAGTTAACATTGAGTCCAGTGACCCTAGATCCAGAACCCATTCGGTAGAAAGGTTACCAGACTTGAAATGTTAACTCTTGCTTTCTCTCCACAGATGCTGACAGACCTGCTGGTCTCTCCAGCAGTTTCTGTTTTTGCTTCAGATCTTCAGCATCAGAGTCCTTTGTTTTATTAAACAAGGAAAAGCAGGGGTGTGGTGACTGTGTTAAGAAAGGATAACATCAGTACAATAGTTAGAAACAATCTTGGTTCAGGAGATTGAGATGCAAAGCAGTTTAGGCAGGGATCAAAAAATAGCAAGATAAAATAATCACTCGTGAGTAGTTTATCAGCCCCGTAACAGAAGTTACACATAGAAGAATATAAATCAATAAATGATGTGTAGCTGTAAGAAAGTAAGTGCGTAATCCTGGGAGATTTTAATCTGTATATAGATTGTCAAACAAAACCAGCAAGGTAGCCTTGAGGATGAAGTCAGAGTATATTTGGGGCAATCTCTTAGAAAGAAGTGTATTAAAAACTTAAATCAAGACATTTACAAAGAAATAAAGACAGTTGGCTATAGGTTAAACATAGGTTAAAAAGCAAGATAGTAGATCAGAAGTGGCAGGCACGTGAGGAGCTATTTCACAACTCAAAAAATATTGCACTGGAGAAGGAAAGATGATAGGGACGTGCTATGACCAACACAAAGTCAAAAATTGCATATCAACATTTCAGGCCCAGTGAT